TCTTTTCAAGAATGGCAAGATGAACATGCTCATATCAGGACACCGTGGTGTCAGTTTCTTAAGTTGTTTAGGTTCATTTGATTGCTTAGCGGACGTTTATTTTTTATATTTTTTTTTATCGGGTGAACCGGCTAGGCATCTCTTTTATCCACGCTTCCCCAACTGGAACCGGTAAGAACGATGGTTTATTGCCAAGAGCGATCTTCAACATGCGGAATGTCAAGACCTTGGATATTCTCTCAGCAGCGCCTACACACCTGTGATCTTCCTTTATTGTGGCCATACATGTCACCACCAGCTTCGACGGACCGAAGACACGACGGACCACTTTCTTTTGCACGTGAGTGACAATGAGAGGATCCTCTCCTTCTTCTTGACCATCGGAGACATGTGTTCTTGCTACGTAATGTACGTTTTGTCATGATCCGATCCGTTTGAACCGTGTCTAACTCTGGGCCGGGAGTCTCCGACGAATCCCGCGTGTAGTCCACAGCGATCGGCCTGAAAGGTCCTGTGCAGCGTTATTTGTAACGTTCTGATTGGGTATTTTCGTGTTTGAAGTCATTTAGTTCATTTTTTTCTGTTAAAATATGGCTGTCTTCTTGAAGGTAGATGTGTGCTGTAGTAAAGTCCTCCCAGTAAGTCCAAAGCCGAATTGCACGGGGCGTTGAGTAGTCCTTCTTTGCCAAGATTCAGCTAGTCGGGTGGTTGTGGAGTGTCAGCTATGTCACTGCGCTATGCGAGCGTATTTGCCAGTAATCGTCTTTACTTGACAAGTTTTTTTGTTTTTTTTACGTGAGTGATTTATTGATTGAAGCATCATGTTCCGTTGAACTGTCATATTTTGTTTGTATAACAGGGTATTTATTGGACTGATAATTTAAAAGTACATTTGACACTGGTGAGCTGAAGGAGGCCAGCGATTTGATTTATAACTTGTAAATAATATAGAGGCCCCCCCCCCCCCTCCCCCCAATATGCGTACATTTATAACTACGTATTTCTGCGCCGCAAACACCGCAATTCCTTAAAACTGTGTATTTTTTTCTTTCAAATCAACGTAGAAATATAGGTGTGAACTTAAATGTCGAGATTGCAATAAACATGTTTTAAGTTTAGATGAAGGATTGAGAGACGCTGTGATGCTGCCAGAGTAGGGCTAAGCAATTTATAGATTAACCTTTCTACTATGTGGAAAAAAAAAGAGCTCTAAATTCGACCTTTCAATGCATGTGCCTGCCCCTGCATTCAGAGTGGTGCAACCAGTTCATCCGCATGCAATAAAAAACATAGAGCCCACATCTATTGCGCAGCAGCACGATGAATTGGCACACATGAGCAGCTCGCTGACTTTCTAGTAGTGTCGGTTGTGGTAGAACTTAAGCTCGCCGCGATGCATGTTCTGTTTTGACATGTAGCATATTTATCAGTTATTTTAATACTCGCCAATCTTAATTTGTATGTTCTTGGTATGGCCTACTTTTAAATTTCTTTTTCTTCTTGTTTTGTTTTGTTTAGAATTCGTGAATTTTAGTAGGTACAACTTTTTCTTTATTAAGGTTCAATGGTACTTTATGGCGAATTATCCCCTTGTAGAGCTGTAGTTACAATATTTAATGATTGGTCTCCCCAAACTTAGATGTTACTTGCATTCGTTAGCTTCCTTTCTAAAGTTGTGAAATAAACTATAATATATGGCAGTCCGCACTTAAACGCAATACGTTGTTTACACTAATTTATCTATAAAAATGTTCCTAACATATTGTATGCCACTTGGACAAATGCAGATGTTAAGAAATTGCATTTGTCCTACCCCTCAGTCTAGTGTCTATATAATAAAGCTATGTCTTGCACCGCTATGGGCAGAGGCCAGCTGATTTGCTACTGTTTGGAAGGTGGAGGAGTGATGTGCAAGGAAGCTAAACTCTGTCCCTCACTCCCATATTGCCTGTTATAATTGTTCCAAAAGTCAGGGAGGAGGGGGAGGGGAACTGTCTTCTCTCCTTGCCCCCTTTTTCTGATGGGGTGCAAACTTGAGGATACCATAAATGAATGCAACCTCTTATGGCTGCTATTGCATACAAAGGAAACAATTAGAGAGAGAGCGAGGGGTGTGGTTTATCTTTCTCTTAGGTGTTCATAGCAGGGGATACGAACGGTTTTGGATTTTTGCGGCTGAGCGAGCTAGCAATCAGTGCTGCCTTAGTGTTCGGTTGGGACTCTTATTCAATCGGCAAGAAAGCGAGCCCCAGCCAATTATTGGAGCGCATCCTATGAATGGCTCCTGGGTTTTTGGAAAATGGTCTATTGTCTCGCAAATGAGTGCACTGGTATTAACTAAAAGCACTTCGCGAGCTGTTTCCTCTCTTTTAACATTGCTGACTCTGCATTTAAGCATTCATTCTTCACAGGAGGAGGGACACGGCCGATCGACCTATCCGGTGACGAGAATTGACGAAGAGGACTCAAGTGCCATAACTGTGGTGTTGGAGGACCACTCCTTTGGGGTGACGGGCTGGTGCAGCGCTCGTTCTTGCATTGCACGGAGTCGACGACATTTCTTACCGTCAAAAAGCAAGCCAGTCACTCGCAGTGATTGGGCACTTCATTAGTTTGAAGTACAAATAAAGTCCGTCTTGGCTTTAGACTTGATCACGAAGTTAAAAAAAAACTGTTAGCCAGAGGAAATTTGTGTGTTGGTTTTTTCTTTTTTTGCCATGTGCTGAAATTAAAATTTTGGTTTATTAAAATCTATTCTACTGTTTTATTTCAGTGCTGACTTTTTATGAGAACCTATAGCCTCTGTGCAGGCTCATGCTTTATATTTTGTCATTTTTCAGCTGCAGTTCCACATTTCCTTTGCACCCATCTCCTTGTGAACATGTACATAGCTGCTTTTAGATTTTAGGGTTTCCTGAAGAGGGTGCTAATTTTTTGAAACAGAGTTTAGGGAACACATCAGATGGGTCTGTACTTACTGTACACAATTATTTCTGTAGAGTAATTACAGTCCCATTCAAGTGTTGCCTAAACTCTGTATTAAAGAGTTAAGCACTATCTAAGGAGGGGTCATACAAACTGCTCAAGTGTGCTGCTATGTGACACTAACTCTTGGTAGAGAGCAGATTTAACTCTTTAATACGGACTCAAGGTACAATTCAAATGGAGTTGTATTTACTCCACAATAAGGTTAAAGCTACCCTTCCTGGAGAGCGTGCTTAACTCTTAAATATAGAGTTCAGGCAACACTTCTAATGGAGTTGTCATTACTCTCCACAAACGAGTGGATTCAACTCTTCGCGGAGAACATGTTTAACTCTTGCATACAGAGTTTAGGCAACACTTCTAAGAGAGTTGTGGCTACTCTACACGATGGAGTGAGGGTAACTCTTCCTGGCGAGTACGCGTAACTCTTGAATACAGAGTTCAGGCAACATTGTAATAGAGTTGTAGTTACCCTACACGAAGGAATGAAGGTAACCCTTCCTGGAGAGTATCCTTCACTCGTCAACAAGGAGTTTCGGCAACACTTCTGATAGAGTTATAGTCACTCTACACAAAAAAGTGAAATTTACTCTCATCAAAGAGTTTAGGCAACACTTGTCATGGAGTTATAGTTACTCTACACAAAGGAGTGAAGGTAACACTTACACTTACAAATCAAAAGAGTAGCCCTGACTCTCTCAAGGGTATTGGCGTGACTCTCTATAGAAGAGTTAAATGAACACTTGTATGGAAGAGTTAAACATACACTTGCCTCCGAAGAGTTATAGTTACTCTTTAAAAGAGTGGATTCTGTGACAAGCCAGTTACACTCCAAAAAGAGTTAAATCGACACCTTTTTTTTTTTAGGGTGAGGACAATATGAGCCGAAAACGCCTTTCATGCTTCTTTGGCTTACCACCTGGTTTTGAGAGAGCTGTGGTCCGAACTAGGAATAGAGAGCGAAGTTGAGGAATAATGGAGCTTGTGGGAGTCGCAGAAAAAGGTTGGATCGGGTGTTCCAGCTCGTACTGTCCGCGCGGGGAGGGCGTACAATGCGCGGCACTGTCAGCGCGAACAGAGCATCGGTGCCTCTACGTATTTTACTTCCATGGAGTGTTGCTTTGCACCAAATTTTACCGCTTAGGTTAGCGTCCCAAATTAGCCCTTCCCACCAAGTATTGGAATTTATGTCAGCATGCTCTTCTGTGCTTTGGGGTAAGTGTTGATATGCACCATACATGCGTCCCTGCCAGGAGCGGGTGCAAACATTTCCTGAGGGGGGGAGTCAGGTGTTGGTCAGCGTACCATACGTTTAGGAACCCCCTCCCCCTCGTTTCACGTCCTAAATTTTACACATGCAAAAATCAAGAGGGGGGTCAGGACATCCGGACCTCCCTCTAAATCCGCCCCTGGTCCCTGCTGTAATGAACAGCGTGAGTGGAATTTAACTGCCTGCTGATAAAATTCCCGGCTTCAGCACGAGCCTTGCCCATACTCACAGCCGCCCACTCCAGCGAGATGCAAAGCTGCGACTGGGAGTTTGTGCCCAATGCAGATGCTGCAGTTGCTGAGTAACATGATGGCCAGACACAAATACTGTATTACATTGTTAGTGCGAGTACAACTGCGGCACTCTTTGCATTTTACTTTGAATTAGTAAATGCTGGCACGAAATAATAGGGTGCAACTTTGTGCCCCATATGAACATTTTTCATCCCTTGTTTGCATTAACAGTGTGGCACTATGTTAGGTCAGAACCATCCTTAACACCAGTGGGGTGAGGCGTACAAAATTCATGCCATAAACCGATCTCACCAGCCAGTTCGACTACGCGCCATCGCTGTCGCAATGCATTGAGGGAACTTCAGTCTTTCTGCACGTGCCCGAAACACTGGAACTCCGCGCGTGAGACAGCACAAGCCGTTTCGGGCACCACCGTCTACCTATTGTGAACTAAAGTTATGGCGGCTTCATGCATGCGCAGAACGCTTGGTAAGGTGGGTCTATTGGTGGCAGGACGACAACAATTTCTTTCTTTTTGTCTCTATTGGTCCCTCTCAAAACAAATGCATTTCTGTGACCATTGACTACTCTGCCATACAAATGTCTGCTGCATGCACCATATTGTGGGGTTTCATTTTGTGCCTTCAAAATTTACAGGTTCACTGCAAGTCTCGGTACAAAAATCGAACGTGGCAGGCTCCATCCTAATAAGAACTGTTGGTCAGCGCTCTGTGCTTAAACAAAGTAAGTCAATGCCAAAGGGTGCAATATTGCTTTTGCATGAAATTACACACAGAACATATAAGTGCTTTATGCCCATTCTCGATTAATGCTGCAGGGAGCAACTCCCTCCACTATTATGAGCATTCCTTATAAAAGTACAAATGACAGCCGTGTGTAGAAGTGAACGACAAAACTGACGCTGGCTGTTCTCTTTGCTCGATACTCAGGAGCGGTTCCCTCATTCCTGGCAGCAGGCTCCTCCGTCCAGCCATGTACACCGCAAGGGACGACTGCCTCAAAGGGTGAGACGTTTCCCTGATTGAATGGCAGCCATGTGTAGAAGTGAACGACAGGACTGATGCTGGCTGTGCTCTTTGCTCGCTACTCAGGTGCGGTTCCCTCATCCCTGGCAGCAGGCTCCTTCTTCCAGCCAGGTACACCACAGGGGACGAGTGCCTCGAAGGTTAAGGCATTTCCCTGAACGAATGACAGTCGTGTGTAGAAGTGAACAGTAGGACTGATGCTGGCTGTGCTCTTTGCTTGCTACTCAGGTGCGGTTCCCTCATTCCTGGCAGCAGGCTCCTCCGTCCAGTCATGTACACCTCCCCAGGGTCCAATAGGTCAATCAATTCTTGGTGCTCCCCTTCTTCGTCATCGGTTGCCCAGATTCCTCGCCAGAAATTAATCACCTGATCAACATCAATGTTCTCGTCCATCTCCTTCTGGTCTTCGTCAAGTTTCCGGTAGAAGGCAGACCGATTGAGCTCGAACAGCTTGTTCGTTTTCCGATACACAATCCGGTTTGCCGCAGTGGCTCGTTTTTTGTGAAAGACTGCCCTTTCCTCTTCGATCTAGTCCTCAAGCTTCTTCAACTGGTCCTTATTGTTAGAGTGGTACTGGTTGGCTTAGCAAATTCGTTTTAATGCTCTCGAGGGAGCCTTGTTCTGTATGACTGGCGACAATTTGCAGCTGTTGACTAAGCTCCTTTATCTTTAATTTAATGGCCTCCTTCCAGTTCAACTTCCTTTTGTCACCTCCTCATATAACAGCTGGCAAGCGCAGATCAAATCATTCAGCTCTGCTAGAATATGCACCTTCTCTTCTAGCTCGATCCCAATGACCTGATTGTTTACTTCCTGATTGTATACCTTTCTTGTTCTTTTTCGGTCAGTTTGGTGATTAAGGGCCAGCTCAATGTTACTGTCCAGCAGATTCTTTATAAACGGCCATTCTTTCTTCGGCCACCTGACCACTGCCCGATTGAGTAGGCTGTTGTTGATTTTTACACTGGGTATGCTTGTTTTTTATCGTTGTCAACGTTACATTCTTGTTATGCTTCCGATTATACTTAATTGTTATTTTTGGCCACCAATCATTGGGCATCCGTCTATGTGGTCCTTTATTTCGCTCGATCACCAGGGCCAACCATCTTTTTGGTGTTGTCGTCTCCCTGTCGGCTCTCCTCACAATCGCTGCAAAAGCCACTTCTCTGTCACTGAAAATTCTCATCATCATCGCCATTCAGGTCGGTTGGTGGTCATCGCCGGTTGGGTTGGCACTTTTGTTATCATCGGCAATGGCTGCTGGGGTTCGTGCTGAGTGCGTTAGTGGCCGTTGCACTCACGAGACATCGTTGATTTCGGAAAAGTTTTCAGTTCCAACGCTCGGAGAATTTTTATTTAGCGTTTCCATCCCTGTTTGGCAGTGACACAGTCGTTGGTTTTCCGATAAACACCAGAAATCCAGTATCTCGGCACTCAAAAAATTGGAAACACTACCACCATGGACATCTTCATCTTTTTGAAGTGCTAATAGGAGAAAGGGAGGACACACTTATGTGAAGAGAAAGACCAGGACTTGATCGCATGCAAGAAAAGCATTCATGGCGTCTTCTCTATTGTAAGGGTGCTGGTAGAGTGGGCTGGAGGGGTATGGTGTGCTCATTTTCTGCTTTGGCATAGTAGGCTGGAAGTGATGCTGTGGGTGCTCTTCTTCACACTTCCATCCTGGATCACTAAAATGGAGCGAAGTAGGCAATGAGCACACCTCCCCCTCTAGCTCACCCTAGCAGCTGTTTCTCTTCGTGTTATCTTTTATTTTAAGCATATTCTCCTAATTTCCTGTGGAATGACTTGTTCGACTGCAACATTGATTGCTTCCTAAAAAGATCTTGAATAAAAAAAAAATAAAAAAAATCTGCGTTGTCTTCCAAGACACTTTCTTCATATACACAAACTGCATACATATCATAACATCTGGCAGTTCAATTAAATTGCAACAAAGTTGGGCTCTTCCCATATTTACTATTTATGTGCTTTGCATTTGCGTGAACCCAATTACATTAATTATATTTTACTGCACTGCTCATGAGTTTCAACACTTGTCTTTAGAGATATACAGTATATATAATCGCAGGACAAGAGCTGAAATAAACAAAAATGTCTGCACAATGCACGTGCTTCGTGTTGTGTTGTCCTTCCTTCCCCCCAGTCTCGGGGGTTTTGTCTAAAAAAATATATACGTGGATGTTACAGTGGAAGCTAGGCAGAAAAAAGTAGACAGAGACATTAAACACGTTCATAACGAATTCCTTGAACGCGATCTAATAAAGTTGATCTTGGATTCACCGTTTAATGTGGCGAAATAATAAAAGTTGTATGCAACATTTCTTCACTGCACACTGAAGGTATGCTATCCAGCAATCAAAAACAGCGAACGTTGCCAGCTAGAATCCTTCACAGAGTTATTTGAGACCTAACAAGGCTCCGTAGTAGAGGTTCGAGGACGAGATTGCCCGTTATCGCATGTGGGGATAACACGTGCGATGGTGTAACTTCACCCGAAATATTGTTTGGATCTCGCACCGATCTCGCACCGTCGAAACTCGCCAAGGTCACTACTTTGCACGACGTTTGTTTTCCATCCAAACACTGCTACTAGTACTTATAACAAAATGCGTGTTGAAGTCATGTAGATACACCCCAAAATAACGAGTTCCAGACGCGTTTGCGTCTACACCGTGCACACGTTTGCGTAGCATTACCAACGCTCGCCACGAGGGAGAATGGTTGCAAACAAAATAGAGTTCTCACAATAGCTTAACCATGCGGCTCTATCGACGACGGAATGAAATTTTCACAAGGTATTTGTCTTTATTACAAATATAAATAGTTTATTGTAACGCAGGCGCGCACATATCTAGCATCGCCGAGAGCATTGCTCGCGAAAGCTCTCGCTGCGGTGTGATAGGGATTGCGGCAAAATATTGATATATATATGTTCTTTTGCGAAAATAACAGCTTACCTTCGATTCACGTAAGTAACCCGATGATATCCAAATTAATTTCACGCGCTGGAAATTACCAAAACAAGGAAGACTACGCTACTGCTGACCACATAACAACACAGCGGAACCGCCCTCCCGTCTGACGTTAGGAAGCGAATGGCGGCGCTAGAGAGGGAGAGGAGAAAATTTTGGGGAGAAAAAGGAATCGTAGATGGAAAGGAGGAAAGTTGTCGCTACCTGTAAAAATGAAAAATATCCAGGGACGTTAGAAAGACCCACTGGGAGCGCCTGGCTGAGGCGGTGGCTGGCGGGGGCGTTGCGTGCGCTTCGGGCAGTGCCATTCTGCTTCAAGGGGAGGACACTCACTCGGGACTCAGCACAAACTGATAAGCCCGTTGCGCTTTGACTGAGCCTCAAGTGAGCGTCCTCCCCTCGAAGCAGAATGGAACTGCCCGAAGCGCACGCAACGCCCCCGCCAGCCACCGCCTCGGCCAGGCGCTCCCAGTGGGTCTTTCATATTGCGGGAGACTGTACAGTGGGTCATAGCCCTTCGGTACGACCACAATTGACTGGACGCTTTTGCAATAACCTGCTTAATGTGATGAGCCCAACTTAAGTTTGCAGGAATCCGTCCGGCCGCGCCACCCTGGAGCCCCGTCTTTCCCGCATCTCCCTTCCCCTTCGCCCGTTCTTCCCGCACCCTGCCAAGGCCGAGCCGCCCGCTCCGTGCTCACCCGGATCCCTGGACGGGGGCGCGTCACCGTACGGCGCGTAATCTTCACTCGGGGATCGTGCGCGGCCCGTGGCAGGTGCGTGGGTGTTCACGTGGACAGGTCGTGGGGGGGCACGTGATTGGTGGGGGCGAGGATACAAAAAGGGAAGCGGGACAAGGGGGGTCCTCTTCGGAGCCTGCGGACCAGACAGTGTGTGTGACGACGACGAGAACGACGACGAGGAGGACGAGGAAAGGACGCTGACCACCGACGCGTGAGTTTAGTAAAGTGTTCTCAAAACGCACACTGCGTGAGTGACTTCTTGTTGAGCGAGCGAGGCACGTCCCGATCGGGCGTTGATTAGGTAGCGACCCTCATAATCTGGCGCCCAACGTGGGGCGCCAGTTTATGCGGGCATCTAACTAGCTCCGATTCCCACAAGTTTGACGTGATTGTAACACCTAGGTATTTATACTCATTAACTACTTCTAAAGCGTTTGAGTCAATGGTACAGGAAAAGAAAAGGGGAACCTTTTTCAGCGTTATCAACATTTGCACACACTTCTTAACATTCAAATTCATTTGCCACTTCTGACACTATTAAAAAATAATTTTAACGCTGTCATCTAAACATTTTCGATCTGACACGCTAGATATCTGGGAAAATAATACACAGTCATCAGCGAACAAATGACACTGTATAGAGTGCTTATTTACTCGCAGGTCGTTTATAAAAATAAAGAAACAGCAGCGGACCGAGCACCGAGCCCTGAGGCACTCCAGAAAGAACAGGTAATTCAGTGGATTCAGCTTTGCCCACACAAACATAATGTTTGCGGTTCGTGAGGTAAGAATCCAGCCACCTCAGGAGACATTAATTGCCAAGTACTTGCTTCAGCTTATGTAATAACTTCCTATGCGAAACTCTATCGAGCGCCTTAGCTAAAACTAGAAAAATAGTGTAAACCTGACCGTCATTGTCGATGACTGAGGCAAAGTTGTGGATCGTGTGAAGAAGTTGAGTCACTGTCGAGTGTCCTCGTCAGAAACCGTGCTGTTCATCAACTAAGAACGTTTCTGATTCTAGGAAACTTATGATGTGCTTAAAAATAAAATTTTTGAGAACTTTGCTACACGTACTTAAAAGCGACACAGGTCTATAGTTGCAAACACTCTTTTTTTCGCCACTCTTATATATGGGCACTACCATAGCTACTTTCGGGTCTAGTGGTACCTCACCCTTTTTTAAACGGGAAAAGTAAATCCAAAAAAGAAACTTGGAACACCATTCAGCATACTTATGTAAACAAAGCATTAGGAATTTCGTCCGGGCTACACGACTTCCTAATCTCTAATGGCAAAAGACTGTCGTTTTGTGTTTGGTTGAATGCTAAAGACTCCTCGCCACAAGGTTTTGGTTAATAGTAAATAGGTTATTTTATAGAAAATAATATTCCGAGGCAAAAATGAAACACCGTCCTCATCAAACGAAAAAAAAGAAGCTAATCAACACTTGATAGATGGAGCAGTTTTTTACTGCGTCCTTATCGTAGTCTAAATTGAAGTGTCACTTTTATTGAGAGTACGAAAACGTTTGACCTTGGAATCATTGAGCTTATGAAGCAAAAAAATGCGACGTCTTACGTTGTACGCCAGCCCCCAGAGGGCTGGGCGTCCAATAAACACTGCCTTGGCTCCGAGAGCCAGCGCCTTGACCACGTCAGGGCCTCGACGGACTCCGCCGTCAAGGTAGATCTCGACTCGGCCACGGACTGCACTCACGATATCAGGGAGGGCTTCGATCTGCAAGCAGAGCGAGACAAGTGTGGTTGTCATAGTGAACAGTAATTGCGCTGCGTGTATGTTTAGACGGCGTGAAGTTAGTAAGTTAAAATTTCCAAATGGGCATCAGGCGTCTCCGTTGTAGATGAGAAATTTGAGCAGTGCAGTATCACATCAAGCCCAAAGTTTCTGGCGTGCATCACGCTTTAGTGATTGTGCACGGCCGCGCCAGGTACGGTGCTTATTCAAAT